TCAGGACAAAAGAGGAAGACCCATAAAACATACTTGAAAAAATTGTAAAGATATTGCCGTAGATTTTGAAACTAATTGCCTTACTTTTCCATGTATTGAATGCGAAAAAAACGGCAATAAAAAAAAAAAAAAGCATGGAACGATTAAAAGATGATTTGCCAAAGGAAATGATTTAAAATCTAAGGCGAACGGTTATACCAAAAAATCTTTTTTAGAATTTTTGAAGAAAGATATTTATCCTTTAAAACATAGAAGCGGAGGGAAAAAGATAATGCGGCTATGATTTCATAATGGCTTAAAATTTGATATTTATTTTTTTATTAAGGATTTATTGAAAGACCAAGAAAAGAACAATTTTACTCACAAAGGAGCCCAAGCAACTTGGAATAATATTAAACTATACGATAGTTATAAAGTTTTCCGGGTTGGCTTAGATAAATTGCCAATGACCGAAAAGCAAAGAGAAACTAAGGGTTGATTCAAAAGAGGAGCGATTGAAAGTCCGGAATATCACCAAAAAAGATGGTCAAGACCTTTTATGAAAAAAATAAGCGATTATTGCGAAAATGATGTTGATATTTTAATTAATAACATTAATAGCTTACCAATAAAAAAGCCGACCATTGGAGCAATAGGAATGGCTGAAATAAGAAAAGATTTAGGAGAAGAGTTTAAAAAAAATCTTCCTAATTGAGCAGGTAAAGATTTTGATAATAAAAGGGAATTTTGGCATAAAAACTTTCACGGGGCGATTAGTGATGTTTTTGGTCGCCAAGAAATCAAAGAAGAGGAAAACATTGACATCTATTCATTTGATAAAAACAGTATGCATCCGGACATTATGAAAAATAAACCCTTACCGTGTGGCTATGGAATAAAAAACGGTCAGCGAGGATGAGTGTTTAATGTTAAAGAAGAGGACATAAAGGATGGAAGTGACGGAACTCTTGGAGCTTATAAAGTTAGATTTAGATATTTGATAGATAAAAAAATAGGTAAATTAAATTTAAGCAACTTGTCTTCAAAAGATATTAAAGAATTAGTTCTCCGAAATGAAGTAAATTTATTTAAAAAAAATATTCCGCCGCTTATTAGAACTGGGGGAGAAAATGGCATAGTAAAATATGTTCACTATGTATTTGACGAAATATTATTTTTTCAAGGTCAAACGCTTAAATGAATTTTAGAACAATGTTATGCTGATTTTCATATAATTAGCGGTCATATATTAGAAACAAAAATCGGCTTATTAGGCAATTGAGTAGATAAACATTATAAAGCCAAAGAAAAAGCCAAAGAAACGGAAGGAGTAGATAGTTTTAATTATCTTTATCACAAGAATATACTAAATTCTGTAAGTTGTAAATTTGGGCAAAGAGTTCATAGACCCCATAAGCAATTAGTCGGAGTGTCAAAAAAGCCATTAATCAATCGCGAGCATTATTGAAAAAATAAAGGAAAATATTATCAATATGTCAACGGAAATCCGCAGAGAGGTTGAACCTATAATTATTCTCCTTATTCAGCAGTAGTTTTGGGTTGGTGTAATTTAGAAATGTTAAAGAAAATTAGAAAATATAGCGATTGCTTGTTGAATTCTGATACCGACAGCTTAAAATTAACTAAATTCCCCCATGATTTAGATATTGGTGCGAGACTAGGTCAGTGAAAGGAAGAAATTAGAGCTAAAAGTTGGCGAACTGTG